AGAGAGAGAGAGAGAGAGAGAGAGAGAAAGAGAGAGAGAGAGATGAAGAGAAATCAATAAGCAAGTTATCGACGCGTTTATTTTTGCGAGTCGAAGTCTTTCTCGCGAGTTCTCGAGTTTCTAATGATTGCGCAAAACAAGTGTGTTCTCGCCGAGGTGTCTCGAGGTGTCACCTGGAAGAGTCACTCCCTGGGGATGGGGAAGGAGGCTGTCTCCCTTCACGGACGACGACGGAACGCTCCTCGCTCGGATCGTCGGACGTCGGGAAATCCTGCGGCGGATTCGCCGTCGGTTGTCGGTGTGCGACGAGAAATGCTACGACGAAACCGACGGGATGCACCACGCGCTGCGCTGCGCTCCGATCGATTAATATTTAACGCACAGGGGGAGACTCGCGAGGAGGGGGATAACGACGACGGGGGCGGCCAAGCGCAGACGGGGGATATTTCCCTCTCGTTGTAACGACGCGCTCCCGCGATATCTCGCACCACTGGCCAGCGCACGGCACACGACAGGGGGGGAGGTTTAATTTGTAACGGCGAATACAAGGAGACTGGACTGCCCGATCTCGGTGAAGTCTCGCGCACCGCCACCGTAGACCACCCGCTGGCTATAGCTAAAATATCGACCATTTCGTTGGCACGACCCCCGCCCGTTGGCGGGCCGATCCGGGGGTGGAAGGAGATTCGCGCCTGCGCCACCAGCAACCCCGACTGACATCAATATAATCGTGAATAGAAAGCACACGCACGTCGGGGGAGAGAGAGAACACTTGTTGATCCGGGGGATGCCCCGCGAATATCTCACCTCGAACGACTTTCCGCGAGACTTCCAGTCCAGTCCCTTGATCCTGCGCGAAATTTGCAGATCGATCACGGTGCTGATAGGAATTGTTAATCTCTTTCTACATCGTATTTTTTCTCCGACTGAAAGTCTTTTAGTTTAAGAGTTTCAATGTTCAAAATTCTTCTTGCTTGAAAGTTTAGATAAATCTTTTATTCCTTATTGTCTGTTACGATTAATTATATCGTATCTTAATTTCAAAAGATCTTTTAAAGTTTTTTAATGAGAATATTTCTCCTTTTAACTTATAATTAACTTATAACTTGTAATTAAAAAATTTTATCAGAAATCTTATTGTCAAAAAGAAAGGAAACAAATAGTTAATATCAAATGATTAATATGGTTTGTTCTTAGATTAGATAGTAAAAAAATTTTATGTTCTCTGAATGTTTGATAATTAAATCAGATATCTAAAAATGGAATTTATAGAAAATTTACTCTATATTAAAAAAATTTAAATAAATTAAATGCTTCTTCTTTTTCTCTTTAAAAAGAAAAATTTGGTTATTTAAATTAAACAAATGTATTATAAGGAATTAATAATTATCAAGAAGAGAAAATTTTTTTCCATAACTTTTGCTGAGAAACAATTAATTGTGAATTAATTAAATTAAAAAAAATCTGATATTAAAATTTATATTTGAATGAAATTAAAAATCTATTTATAATGTGAACAAAAAATCTATCTCTTTTTCTTATAATATAAAATTCATCAATATACATACAATCTTTTAGATATAAAAGACTACTTGTTCCCTCTGCAGTAAAATTGAAGAACCATGAGATATCCTTTATTTCAGTCGGCTAGCAAGTTATTCTCCATGGTTATTAATATTGATTTAAATTAATGCTGCACCTTAATCATTAGATGGCCACCGCATCACAGAATTCTCAATTAATTTATGCTCCCATAGGGGTAGCTGATCTGCATTTGAGTTTAGCGAATCACGGACCTGAACTCGATATACTGCACTTATACACATTTATATATATACGTTTTGTGAGTGACAGTGTAATAACATTTAAATAAAAGTGATAATTTTTCGTGTGATTCTCGCGTTGATTTATAAAAAATATTTTATATATTATTTTAGATATTATTTTTCTTACACTTTTCTTGCACGACTGACAAAATATAAAAGTAAACATTTTATTAAAAATATTATGAATAACTAATAATTTTTTAATTTATATATTGCAAATTATTTATATAGATTTTTTTTATTATAAAGAAACTTAAAATTTAATATATACATTTTTATTTTTATATATACATTTTTGTTTAGATTCTGAACTTTCTCGAGAACGCACAAGTCGCTTAGTAATCGAAATACAAGCTTACATAAAACGAAAATGTAATAATGATTATATACGTGATTTTACACATTCTTTACCAAAATATATTTTATTTTTAGTTTAGATTATTAAAAATCACAGAGTATTCGAATCATCACAGAGAAACATGATATGCAATTGCGTTCATTAGTATAATTAATGCTTAACTTTACCCCGTGTTACATATTTTTTATTTTTATATATTTATTAAATATACGTGAATATTTAATTGTGCAATAGAATGCAAAAGTCTTTGTAAAGTATAAAAGCTTCTAAAGCAATAACGAAATAATGAATTTCAGGGCAATAAAATAAGTCAGTCAACTATTTTGCTGCAATTATACCAACCTTTAGAAAATCTTTCATTAATTTTCTTAATTTTTATTTTGAACTTTAAAAAATTTTAATATATGTGGAAGATGACATTTTGCGGAAAGAGAAACTAGTTTTGAATCGGAAAATCCGGTTTCTTAGTTTCTAAAGGTTAATATCAGCAATAAAATTAGAAGCGCTTTATGGCAATCGCGTCTCTTTAAATAATATAAAACAGTATAAATAAAAAATGCTATATCCTAATTTTTCTCAATACTAGGTTTTTAATCTTTTCCCGGACATTTTCTTGGAATCCATTTGATTTATGTGGTTCTGTTTTTTGTATCTGTTATCTGTACCTATTATCTTTCATACAAGTTGCATTATGTTAATCGATAATCAATCCTTTTACACAATTTTTTTTTGTTCGATATGTAATTTGCATTAGGTATAACAGAATAAATCACGCAATTATACATTTAATTATAGACGCTTACGTAAATTGACCAAATCTGTATGATACAATCTGTTTAAATATAATCTGAAATTATACAGTTTTGTTTAAAAGAAATATATATTTTGGCACTTTGCAAGCGCGTATAAAAAAAAAAGCTTCTAATTTTTCCCTTTTTAATATATAATATATAATATAACGAGATATCTGAGATAATTTTTTTCTTGAAAACATCCGGGTGCTATAAATAATCATGCGGCGATTTATCGCCGATTTATAATTATAATTAACTATAATTTACTTTCGAGATTCTCGTCGTATACGATTGCCGGATTTTCCACCGCCCATTTCTCTTTGGTGACCTGTTCCTCTTTTTTCGGGCGATTCTTCAGGTTCTGTATGCCGGCATAATGCTCCTCGATCTCCCGCAACGTTCTACCCTCGGTTTCGGGCAGTATCACGTACAGCAGCCCCAAACCGACGAAGTTGATCAGAGAGTAGAAGAAAAACGTGCCGGGCAAAGTCATGCCGTTTACCATGTAGAGGAACGTTTTATTGGAAATCGACGCCAAGATGTAGCCAATCATACCGGCCGCGCCGGTCGCCCCGCTGCGTACCTGATGATAAATCGTTCGAGATAAAGAGAAACTCGACGCTCGCGACGTAGGCATTCTAGCAAATAAACGGCAGTCTCTGTTATTTTTTGTGGAAAGGATCGGCCGACTTATCCGTATTCGAAGAATAAAAAAAGAAGATAAGCGGCGCGGTAATTAGATTCTCGGAATGAAAAAACTCGAGGATTTTAAGCGAGTCTGAGAAACGAAGGAAATACGCACGCACCTCTACCGGAAATACCTCGCCCGCGAGGATCCAGGGCAACGTCCTGATGGCGATGTTCCCCGTGAAAGCAGCGCCTATCATTAGAGTGGTGGGTATCCAGGTGTATTTGGCACCGTCCACGTATTCCGCGTCGTTCAGGTAACCGTAGATAGCGGTGATGAGGAAACACGAACCGGTACCACCGACCGACAGGAAGGACAGCTTGCGTTTTCCCATCAGGTGGATCGTCAGCACGCAGATTATGATGCCGATCAACTGAGCGACGCCCAGGAACACGGTGGCCATGTACTTGTCGATCGGCGCCTTCAGCCTTTCGAATATCATAACGGCAAAAGTCTGCAGGGTCGTGCAGCCGCCGAAGTGGCCGATGAAGAAGGCCGCGCTGACCAGAAAGAAAGGCTTGTAGAAGGTCCGCTTGGCGTAACACCGCCAGAGCTCCTTCTTGTCGGAATTGGTGTTGTCGGCTGGCTTCTGAATCGCCTCGCAGAGCGTTTTGAATTCATTTTCCACTTGTGACGGGCCTACCCAGCCTCGTAGCCAGCAGAGAGCGCGTTCCGATTCCTTGAAGCGACCCTTAACTGAAAAAAAAAAATTGATTTTCCATGCCACTTAAAACGACATAGAAACTTGAATTCTCAAAATTTTTTTTAATACAAGATTAAATCCTGAACAAGTATTTACTTTGAAAAAAGGCAAAATTTTTTGGATCGTCCAAAATGATAGATGCAATTTTGAACGATCATTAAAATATTTAATCGTATATTATAATTGCTTAATTAAAATTGATTTACTAATACTATTTATAAATAATAATAATTAAGTATTTCGACAAATTTATGTAATAAATTATATAATAAATGAATCATTTAATTGATCACCCACCGGCGAGCCAGTGCGGGCTCTCGGGTACCAAGCACAAAGCGAGGAAACAAAGAATCGGATAGGACAGATTGATCAACACCACCGTTCTCCAGTGGACCAAACTGCCGCTGAGCATTTGCGTAAAGATACCCAGGATCACCGCCAAAGAGGAGGTCGCGGAGAGCATTCCGCGCAGGTACGGTTGCGTCACTTCGGCGACGTAAGTTATAACCGGCCCCTCGAGGAGGCCGCCCGTCAGACCTGTCATCGCGAGTGCCGTGAGCAACATCGCGGGATTGGTCGCGTAGTGAAATATCAACCAGGCCATCACGAACGGTATATTCGCCAACATCATCGTTCGTTTTCTACCCAGATACTGCGACAGCGGTCCGCTCACCAAACAGCCAAACGGCACGAGAAATAAATTCAGGCTGCCTGGAAAGAGATACACAAATTATAATAATAATAATAATAATAATCATCACCGAGATAAAATTATTATGGAGAATTCAGTTAAATAATACATTTCGATAATAACAACTAATTTTAAATTGAGTTGAGATAATTTATGATGATTTTACGGAATTAATGTTACAACTTCTGCTATAAAAATTTAAGTAGGTTTTAAAGCGTAACATGTTAAATAGTTTTATGATTAAAAAAAATGAAGGAAAAATTTTATATTTTAAGGCAAAGGATCTAGATAAATAATTCTATATCGCGCTCTTTTAACGTATTATTTTTATGAACGATTCTTACTGATCCATGTTAGTTCTTCCATCGTGACTTGGATGTCTGCATCTTTTCTCTGTAATGCTGGGATAAGGATAGTTGAGAATCCCAAGCTTGTACCGAAAGTAGTCAAGAGTAAGTTTTTAGCGCCGACTGCACAACATTGTGGTACTGCTTGTCGAAGTTTGGAAATGCATACTTCCTCGACTGTGACTGACGTTTTGTCATCGTTCCTAAATTACAGAGGAAACATTATAATTAATAAATATTAAACTGTCTTTCTTTTTCTTTAATATATATTAAATTATGAATTATTATTATTATTATGCTTTTTTTCTAAAATATTTATATATTCTAAATATTTTTATTATATTTTTCTCACGCAAAAGTCTTTTTATAATTGTACTTTAATTTTTTTTAATATATTATATTGATTTCATTGTTAAATTATAGAATTAATAATAATTTTTATAGCGAATGACAATTTTATTTTAATAGCCAGTTGACAAAATTCTGTTAACATCATGTCGTGCATAGGATAAATTATGAAATGCAAAATGTATAATGTATGTATGTATGTAATAGAAGATATATCGTCTTAATTCTTTCATTAAATGACTAGTAATTCCCCTCAGAAATGATTATTCAAAGTAATGACCACGAGAGTTGGATGAAATCATCTTAATAATAGATTCATTTTTTGCAAGAAGATTAATAAAGGAAACGTACAAATCATGCCGATTCAGAAAAGATCATTAAATTTTGCACGCATAGTTCCGTCGTTTTTATTAATGTAATTTATTGCGTTCTGTCTGTGGCAAAAATAGGCAATTTTCTATCTAAAAATAACATTTAGAATCGCTGACTATTTGACACTCTAGTAGGCCTTGGAATTTAATACGCTACACATCTTTAAAGGTCTGCATGAACTACATTGAACTCTCAATTAGTCGAATAAAAGATCTTAAATGGACTTTAGACAAGGTAGGAAAATCTCATAGATCCGCGATGTTAGATAAATTTACTCCCACAACAATCAAACGTGTGTATGTAATAGACAGAGAAGGCGTATAAAAAATTAATTTATTGAAAATATTATTATATTAAAACAATGTTAAAATAATATCAATATTAAAATTCTTATCTTACACGGTAGACATGGATAAAAAATGTATATAGAATAAATTATTTTAGAAAATATCTTTATAAATGAAAGTTAGATTGTGAAATATATAAAAGATTGTAAAATATATTAATAAATCAATGTTAAACAGTATATATGTATCAAAAGTATACACGAGTTCAATGAAACGTAATCTTTCAACCTCGTTAAAGCGTATTCGACGATCATTTACACAGCCTTTCACTTGACATGATTACATTCTTTCGGCAATAATCTGTCTGATAGAGCTGAATGTTATTTCAAATGCGAATGGCCTATTATTATTCCTTTGAATTGTATTAAAAGAAAAATTTGAAGAATTTTATGATATATATATATATATATATATATATATATATATATATATATGT